TAATATTGATCGCACATGTTGGGGTTCCTGCTACAGCAGGGCTGCGTCTCTTCAACACCGGCGAGGCTTCAGCTGCTCGATATGTTTACGCTGCCAAAATATAATATAATCTCACCCTTTCTGCTGTTTTATTGAGCCAACCCCAAGAATCAATGACTCAAATTAAGCAGAGAATCTGTGGATCATTTTTGTACAAGCGATTTTTAACTCGATCCATCTGTAAGTTTAGAAGTAATTGTTAATTAAAGTTGGGTTTTTTTTTAGCTGGAGGAGTTTTTTTTTTTTTTTTAAGGCAAGAAACTGCTTCACGCTCTCATTAGAGTTGGTTAACTTTACGCCTGTGAGTGTCGGGGAAAAGACGTTGTTGCTGTGCTGCAGCAGCAGCAGCAACGCTGCAGATGTGTGAGTCTGTGTGGGTGGTTTTAAGGTCGACAGCTTCTTTTCTCTGGGGACGGCTGTCTGTAAATCTGGGAGACGAGAAACTTATCAGTGCAGCATCTGGATCTGGAAAGGAGAAATTGACAGAGAGGGTTTAGCTGTTGTAGTTTACATGAAGGAAAATGGCTTCCTATGTTTGTGAACTTGCACATTGTTGAGTTGTTTAAAAATGAAGGTGAAGTCCGAAACTAAAACTTTGTTTTTCTAGATTTTTTGAGTTTTATTTCAATGTGGAAAAGAGCAACTAAAGGTAAAAGTCATGCTGATATTTTCTCATTCATCTTTCTAAATTAAATTGTACTAATTTATCAAATCTGCCATCGAACATAATTTAAATCCCTTTGTAATGAGATGCGAGAAAAGTGTAGAAATGATCAGTTTTCTCTGGACGTTTCAAACATAATGTGATGGAAAAAATGTCGAATGCATTTAAGTTTCTTGATACGTACCACAGTTTCAAATTTTACATCAGCTGCACAACTTGATCTAATTGCTTTTATTTAAATTAGAAAATGATATAATGCTGATTATTTTTTTGACAATGTTGTCTAATAATCATGTATCGCTTTATTTGTCGCTTAATTGCATCTTTTAATTGCTTATTATGCAGAACAGTTGAACTATTGCCACTTTCCTTGTTAGAATAACAAGCTAACATTTGAAGGATAATTGCTGTGGTTGTCCTGTAACTTTCTAAAAAACCTTTGTAATACAGAAAATTTATCATTTGAAGTTTGCCAAATGAATTTTACTGCTTTTATAAAAAGTTTTTGAAGCACAGATGTCCTACATTTGTATTGGCCTTTCTAGTGCTTTTTGCTTTTAAACGTCAAGTTGAGTTTACTAGACTATAAACTACTTAAATCTGGAACGCTTAAGATGGAGAGCAACAAACTATAGCAGAAAAGAATTGGTAATGGGACTGCAGTAGATCCCAAACAGGAGAATAAAGAGTAATATCTACTTTATTTCTAGCAGCTGCATGTAAAACCCAGTTACCATCTAATGGCACGGCTACAAGGAGACGGAGCCTGAAAAACGGCCAAGAAATCTTGATGCCTGACATAAAACCTCTTCTCTGTGTCTGCTTTTCTTCTACTGTAGCCCCTCTGTCATTTAAGCCCTTCTGCTTAAACGCAGCAACATATTGGATTCATGTCTAAGTTTTAAACTGATTACTTTCCTCTTATGTCGTATTTGTTTTTTCCCCCTTTCTGCCAGATGACAAACTTTAATGGGAAAGTTGAAAGGAGCGATGATATCTATTGTTCTTTGAGCTCATGCAGAGAGGGAAAGTTTTCAAAGAGATGCTTCTTATTATCACATCAAGAGAAAACAGAACAGCCCTCTATTGTTCAGCTTATTGCAGAGCGCCGTATTAATGCAGCCGTCCCAGCTTCACAGCCAGGCTGACAGCAATCTGTGCTGCTATCGGGATGCATTTACAAATTTGCAGCTTATATGGCGTGCTAGTGGTCACGGTGTTTTGCCTGTGACCTTTCCACAGTAGAGGCATTCAAATGGAGAGAATTACCTGCAGCTCTTCCTCCATCAGCGCTGCTATGATAAGGATTTATTGGGTGCATAAATCCTCACTATTGTAAAGTTTCAGCCTTTAACAGATGTCTAGGTTAGAGGACAGATATTGCCTCTTGTTTTCAGCTTTTTGTTTTGTTTTTTTAAAAACAATCCTTACAAATCCGAGGAGATAATAGACAGACTGCATCAGCATATGTGTCAGATATTTACATTTTACACTTTGGCATCTTTCTTTAAGCTGCTCCATCTGCCCCATGTCATCTGTTTGTTCCTGCAGATAAATCAAATAGCAAACATAGTCAGAATAAATTAAGGTGCATAAAAAACAGGCATCCTGTCCACCCACCTTCTTCTCTCCCTGGTAGACAAAGCAGATAAATGTGTGATCTTCCATATTTGGGTCACAGGATCCTGAGACTGACTTTGTTCTTCTGCCTTGAATTAAGATAAGTTTTATGTCTTTGTTCGCTGTTTTCGTGCCTAGGCAGGAAGACATTTACAGCATAAAGTGCTACTTTAAAGCACTTCAGATCCAGAACACTGTCTTGTTTGTTCTCAATTACGGCTGGGCAATAAATTAATAGCAACATATCGACACATGATCATTATCAACAGATAAAACGTCTAATGTTCTGTAGTTTCACTGAACTCTGAGCCAGATCCGCACAGCATTCTGGGGGATGTAGGAGGAACAAAGACTTTAGGATGATGGAATCAACCAACTTACTCTTTGGTTACCTGGCAACAATTGGTTGAGTGACTGACGCAGTTTCACAGTATTTCAGATATTTGAAACAAAAACCCGATCAGTTTTATTGATATCGACTGATATGAAATGCTTCTATCATGAGACGCTTTTCAGCTGTGATGATGTCCAGCCCTAAATGGCACCATTTTCACTTCCAAGCAGGAAGTTGTGGTTGTTTTTGAAGCGATCTAATTGGCTCTCTCAGGTTTTGGCTTTACGCCACACTGCCCCCTGTTGGTTTTTCATTGAAACCGATCCTGTATGTACGCTGGAGTTATTTTTTTAAAATGAAGGTATGTCTGTGCAAGGCCCAGATCGATTTGTTTCTACGTGTTGTCTCTAACAACAAAGCTTCTCTTCTGTTGATATTTAAAGATTTTTCTGGCATGAAATATTTCCACATCCGTCTGACCTTTGTTCATTTTAGCTCTCTTGTGTTAAAATGCCATCCTTTGAAGCTCCCATCAGTAATTCACTGTGAATGCCACATCCTTCTCCATTTCTTAGCTTTCATTATCTGACTCCAGTCTTTCTGTGCCAGCACTGAATGAATGAACAATGTGCCATTTCTTGTTGTGTCATTTTTTCGGGTTGTGAAAGCGACATGAAGGACAGATATTACCGGTTGGACCACTGGGAGCAGCCACAGAAAAATGTGGTCTGGTGGTAAAGCAGGTTGTACTTTTGTACAGATCCTGTCAAGCTTTTTTTTTATCTTTAAAACTGGAGCAACTACTGGCGTTTTTCTGTAATCTCAAAACTTTTGAATGAGGATGAGGCAGACTGAAGTGAACAGACACTCACAAAAAAGCGTAAAAGTTTTAAAGTTATGGACCAAGTTAAAGGAAAGGCCTGTAAAGTTTTTTTTTTTTTTTTTTTTTTTTACAGTATTGTGAAACAAGTTTCAGGAAGCAGAGTTGCTGATGCGGTTCTACTTGCCTTTACTGCTCCTTTTAAAAATGGAGGAAGAAACCTGGATGAATAACAGCCACTGGAACAAATATGTGACTTTTTTTGTTTTAGATAGAAGGAGAAGGCTTAAAAATACACGTACAAGTTCAACAATTACCCTAGACCTTTTGAGTTTTTGATAAAAAATAATGTAAAAATCCATAAGTGGGGTTTCCTTTTAAAGCTACTGGAGTTCTGATGAGAAAAAGCATGAATGGTGGGCATAGAAAGACTCGTTGGATGGCACTGATACTGTTGTGTAGGACTCCCTGTTCTGATGGAGACGTTGGTTAGTGGTGTAGTATAATTAGACCTTTTTAATGTAATGTCTGTTATATATGGCTCGGTTTTAAACCAAACCCTCAGTTTTAACACAAATGTGTTGAGCATCCACAGAGAAAAGCCTCTGGCTTGGTCATTTTCAGGTTTTTGTAAAGCTGCAACCTGCTGATTCTGATTTCACTAACGTAACTCTTGAAATGTGTTGCCGTTGTAATTTAAATCAAAATTATGTTAATAACTTTTCACTCTAAAATACACAAAAAATCTCTAATCAGAAAATTGACTAATATCAATCAGGCTTTTTAGCATACAGATATGTTTTATACAAATAACATTGAGCTGATTAGGAATACTTGCTAGGTGTCTATTTGAGATTTTGTAATGTGTACCAATGCAGCAAGTGATCTCTGGATGGCAAGTCAATCACAAAACATTTGTCCTTTCCAACAGCCATTGTAGAGCACATAAAGCGATAAAACCAGCTGACCAAATGTGCTGGAGCTCCGGTTGGGTTGCTAGGTAATGGGGCTTGGCTTGGCTGGGGTTGCTAGGTAACAGCGCAGTGACCAGCGAATATGACGGGAGGTTTTTGAATCGACTTTCAAAAACCTCATGTTTTTTACCAGACACCAAAAAGCATTAACTTATTGCCAAAAAGCAAATGTGTGTGTGTGTGTGTGTGTGTGTGTGTGTGTGTGTGTGTGTGTGTTTTAAGCACTTGGTCTGTTTTTAGAAGCAGTTAAAAAGTAGAAATGGAAGTAGAAAAATGTGCAAATAATGAAGTGTGCATATGTTCCCTTTGATATAATAAGTGAAATTAAAATTCAAAGCTGTCTTTAAAATATTTTATAAGTGAGTGAGGTTAGGCTGTGTAGCATTTTTTCTGTAATTGCGCTTATTTTGTCTAAAAAATGCGCTATGATACAAGTAAATAGCCTTAAACTAAGCTCCGTATTTGTTTGTATCAGCTTTTTTTGGCGATTACGTCACTCTCGGTTTTTAGTTTGGTGCTTTTATTTTGATAGGATAACTTCCGCTTTATGTTTTATCGAACGTCAGTTTAACGACAAAGGACGGAAGACAAGTTGTAACGGAGTTGAAGTGTATCTGATAGAGACACACAAGGTATGTTTATTTTGTAAATAAGTATATTTTTAATATTTGTTTGTGACTTTTTTCACTGTATGAAAAAGGTAGAGTATAGTTTTTAGATATTTTTAGTTATAAACGTTATTTTTGAGTTAGCAACGTCACGGTTGCTAACTCGAGTTAGCAACCGGTTGCTAACACCGCCTGGGCCAGAACTTCTGGTCGAATACTGGCCTCCATCCAGTGTTCCTGGACTTGTGTATCTATGTACACGTCTACACTGAATGTGTGGTTACACACCAAAAAATACTGTTTTTTTGTGTGTGAAACTAAGGGTTTATCCTCATTTTATCTGCGATACATACAAGTTGACCAACTGAAGGGCTCAAATCCAGCAGGATTTTGACTAGCTCAAGGTCTTATGAAGGAAGAAAGTCGAATAAATACCTGCATTAAAGATGTAAAAGAACCAATAGAATTTTTTAGGCTGACATTTTCTTTTCTTATTTTATAAAAGTTGATTTATGTGCGTTTCTTCTGTATGTTGGAATCAGTTTCCGGTTCACAGTCATCTGCCTGCGCCAAAGACACATGTAATCTGCGCTCTGGGAGCGGGGCCAAACTGCACATGCAGAGTGTCGTAACTCTGTAGTTAAACAGAGAGAATTTTTTTTTTATCAAGTCAGATGTGCAGCTGGTTTGAGAAGTAGAGAAAGTTTCCTCCTTGTACTGCAGCAATGACAAAGCTGACGGGGTTTTTATTCAGATTTGTAAAATGCATTATCAAAAATACATAAAAATACGCAAGTAATTACATTCTTTTTTTCAGATAAGGAAATAGATATTTTATTGAAAGTGAATTAACAGCATTAATTTAGTGTGTCTTGATCATTTGAAGATACCTCTGCAGCTAATGAATATACTTCTAAATAATTTCTGCTTTACTTTACATCAGTACAGGGTAGGGATACTCTATTTGTTTATTTTTTGAATTAACTGATTAATATCAGATTTTTGTTTTTGCTTTTTACAAAATTTGAACCAGGTGAAGCTCAAACTATGCCACTTAAGAAGTTTTTGGTAGAATATTTTACAGACAAAAGGGTTTTTTTAAATGCAAAATATAGGTTTTGTACAGTTTTGGCGTAATTACTGCTGTAAGTATGTTGGGGGGGGTTTCTCAGCAAATGTCTTTTTTTGAGTGTATACTCCAGTTGACAATTAATTGATTAGTAAATTAGTTGATGATTATTTTAATAATTTAATTTTATTTTAATACAATGTTTTTTTTCAAATAAAAGCAACTGCATTGGACTTCATTACATTTACTGAATTTGAAAAATACTCATCAACTGTGGTATTTTAACTTTATCGCACTATAACAGTCTCCTATCAGCCTTTGCACAAATGTAGGCCTAAATTAATAAATAAATCCAGGTTTTCCATGCATTTGGTTCTTTTAAAGCAGCTGACCGCTGTAGGAGCCCATTCGCCTGCATTTTACCCTCAGATTTTACAGGCCCAACAGAAACAGGCCTGTGACTGACTTTGGGCCCAGTTAATCCAGAGTTTCAGCAACCAAACTTATGAAAAAAGTTGTGACACTACTGTTGCTGTGTTTCAGCTATAAAATGCATTTTGATTTATCTTTGCTTTCACCCTGGTGTGGGTGGAGCAGCAGCCTATCAAGATGAGATAAAATAGTGAAAGGAATCCAACACCGTCACTTGGATTGGTTTGAAATGGCTCGTTTCATACTTTCCCTGTTGCCTGTTAAAATGAACCGGAGCCCAACGTCACGTTTGAGTCGCAGCCAAATCTGCTGCTCCCTCTGCTGCAGCCGGAGCTTCACTGGACAGGCCCAGGCTGTGGGAAGCAGTTAGAGCTGTGGCCCCGTTGTGATTTTCAGGGCTCTGTTGGTGCTTCCGCCTGTCTATCTGTGGATTGTTTGTGTAGATCAGCACAAGCTGCAGGCTGTCAGCTTTGTTTGCTCTTGACGCGCGCTGTCTCACCTGTCATCCTCCATCTCTTCTCTACTTCTCCTTCTCGCAGCCACCCGTTAACAAGATGGCAGCCGCAGACTGTGGCGATGCTCTTAGGTCAGAGTTCTCCTGTCAGTGAATGATTGACTCAGCAGTGTGTAAATACAGCAGCGCCTCGATATCTGCAGCCTTATCCAGTAATTGGTGAAGTCTGGATGCTGCTCCTGCCGGCCGGATAATTAAAATGCAGGAAGACGTCAGAATGAAATTACACCATCAGAAGTTCAGTGGCAGGGTTCGGACAAACTGACAGCAGGCAGGTCTGAGGTTTTTCAGTCGCTCTTTGTTGTCTGACTACTGAGCTCTCATTAACTTTTACTCAAACAGAAACAGTAAAATGTGATGGATAAATATTATTTCATATGTTTCAGCTGAATCCCATAAAGTAGATCTAATGTCTAATACTGAGTGTGCTTCCACCATAATGATGGCGAAGAAGATGATTTTATGATTGTGTGCGTCATTGAGGACTGAAGAGATGAAACATGAGGGAACTCGGCCTGTCACAATAACAAACCTGATTGGACAATAAATTACTCCAGAACTTATTGTGATAAAAGATAATATAGTTGAGCTCAAAGCACCAGACTGATGACTTTTATCATTCAGTTTTGGTAAAAAGAGAAAAATAATAAATCAAGCAAATGGAAACTGAATTTTTTAAAAATTTATTATGTGATTAATTGATTTATTGTTTATTGTGACAGACCTAGAGACAACATATTCTGGTGACAGACTTTTGCTGACCAATGAGAAAATTCATTGAGTTGTCTGAATTTGCACAAATTAGTTTGTCAGTCAAATTTTTTTTTAAGAAATAAGGGCAATGCTGAAAAGTGTGGCATGCAGCTGCAATTTTTTGCATAACTCCAGAACTTTGCACATCAAGAATCTGAAACTTTTGCCTGTTCTTTGCAAAATACTCCAACGTCCGTCGATGGAGAGCATTTGTGATCATAAACTTTAAATATTTGCCACATATTCCCGTTAGCCTCGTCTCACATGAATATACTTTGATAACATTTCCTTCCCATCTCTGCCTTTGTATTTGGAGTCAGTTGTTGTCCTGACAGAACGTTTAATCTACTCCACTATATTTTGCAGCTTCTAACAGCTGCAATGTTTGTTTTTTTAATTGTGTTTATTTCATGCTATCCTAACCGTACTAAAAAAATTATATCACTAAGCTGCACACAGTGGCAGCATTTTGTAATATTTTCAAATTTAGTGACTTTTTTTGATGCACTTGTGGGACACACAGGGAGAGAAAGTAGTAACAAAAATAACATTTCCAATAATGTTAGTATTACTAAAACCCTTAATTGAAATGTATTGAAACAATGTCAAGTCAAAATTTTCTCTAGTGGACTCGGTTCACTCACTCAGTATTTTGAGGCTTGTTTGTTGCTGATTTTATTTAGTGAGTAAAGCGGACTGAATACAAATGATCACCACAGGACTTTTATTTTTGTTCATTATTATTCATTACTTTCTGCTTGTCTGCCATATAAAATCCCAAATGATGGCATTGATGTTTGTTGTTTCAGTGCGAAAAAGTACAAATTGTTTGAACGCACCACAAACTAATGACTGCATAAATATATATTTTTATTCTTTAACATAAAACTCTGCTTCCTTCTATTTCTTGGTCATTACTTTCTCCTTCTCTCAGAGATGAGTTTTAGGGTGAGCGTCTGTTTCAAGAGGACTGTACGTCATAAAAATGTTAACTTTTATGTGCCTGAAGGCTGCAGAGCAGGAAGCAAAGTGGCTCCTCAGCCTTCATTAAAACTCCTCCATCTGCTTCTGTAAGTGCAGCCTGTTGAACACGTCAGTGAGGTTTAATGCAGACCCAACTTTTGGTCGTGATGCAGCTCTGAACTGACAGGCTCTCTGTTTTGGAACGCAGCAGTGCAGCAACGTGACGCATCCGTGCATCGAGGAGGGCCCATCAGGACCAGATGTCTGAATGACACATAACAAACAAGCCGTGGATCGTGAGAACACAAAACTCAGTGTTTTAACAGAGAACGAAAACATTTCAGCTCCCTGTGGGTTCTTTGAACACATCACCAAATATTAATGTCATTTTAGAGACGTGTAGCAGCCAGCTCTGAGCTGCTGCGGCTGGAAGTCTGATCAGGAAACTGCAGCCGGGAGTGTGTTGAAATTTATTACTGCATGACAGAGGGAGCAGTAATAAATTTTTGATTAATTACCAGTAACAAGCATGACAGAGAAAATGATATGAGCACGATCCTTTATTGGCTTTATTTTTGGTTTGTGCTTAAACAAATGGAACCGTAATTCATTCTTTGCTGGTTTTATGCTTTCATTCCATCTGTTTCTACAAATAATCGAAGCGCTTTTCTGGCAGGAAGTTGATGTTCTTTGGTGCCTGTAAAACTTCCCAAATGTTAAGTCACATTCATAGGGCGTTACCTAGCAACCTCAGCCAATCCCAGCCCGTTACCTATCAACACGAGCCTATGTCCAGCCTGTTTGGTCAGCTGGTTTTTCCTCTGTATATTCTATAGAATGGCTACTGTACAAGACATCTGTTTTGCTGCTGACTTAATATCCAGAAACAACTTGCTGCATTCTTGTTAGTTGTGCAGGGGGCTCCACTTCTGCTTCTCTAAGATGTACAATTATATTATTTGTGCATCTGTTTGCAGACTTTTGTTATGTTTTATTGTAAATGTTGACTTGAAGGGCGTGGCTCATTTAGATGATTTTAAAGGGGCAGTGTTATGTAAAATTTACTTTTTTTTTTCTTTTAGCCTTATATCATGTTATAATGTTTTTTTCCTCATCAAAAACACACCTCGGGTGTTGCTTACGTTCTTTCATGCATGTTTGAGAAATCCTTTAATCTCCATGTCAACCATTGAGCTATTCAAACGCCGGGGTGGACCAAGCCCCGCCTTCAAGATGAAGCTCCTCCTTGAAGCCGCAGTGTTTCTGCCTCATAGAGCAACTTTTCCCTGCGTCTTTTACACTCAGCTCCTTCAGACCCGCAGCAGCAATTAGGAAACACTTTATACCAGCTACTTCTCAGTGAAACGCTGGTAAAATCGTTGTTAAAGGGTGAAGATAGATAGATAGATAGATAGATAGATAGATAGATAGATAGATAGATAGATAGATAGATAGATAGATAGATAGATAGATAGATAGATAGATAGATAGATAGATAGATAGATAGATAGATAGATAGATAGATAGATAGATAGATAGATAGATAGATAGATAGATAGATAGATAGATAGATAGATGATAGATAGATAGATAGATAGATAGATAGATAGATAGATAGATAGATAGATAGATAGATAGATAGATAGATAGATAGATAGATAGATAGATAGATAGATAGATAGATAGATAGATAGATAGATAGATAGATAGATAGATAGATAGATAGATAGATAGATAGATAGATAGATAGATAGATAGATAGATAGATAGATGATAGATAGATAGATAGATAGATAGATAGATAGATAGATAGATAGATAGATAGATAGATAGATAGATAGATAGATAGATAGATAGATAGATAGATAGATAGATAGATAGATAGATAGATAGATAGATAGATAGATAGATAGATAGATAGATAGATAGATAGATAGATAGATAGATAGATAGATAGATAGATAGATAGATAGATAGATAGATAGATAGATAGATAGATAGATAGATAGATAGATAGATAGATAGATAGATAGATAGATAGATAGATAGATAGATAGATAGATAGATAGATAGATAGATAGATAGATAGATAGATAGATAGATAGATAGATAGATAGATAGATAGATAGATAGATAGATAGATAGATAGATAGATAGATAGATAGATAGATAGATAGATAGATAGATAGATAGATAGATAGATAGATAGATAGATAGATAGATAGATAGATAGATAGATAGATAGATAGATAGATAGATAGATAGATAGATAGATAGATAGATAGATAGATAGATAGATAGATAGATAGATAGATAGATAGATAGATAGATAGATAGATAGATAGATAGATAGATAGATAGATAGATAGATAGATAGATAGATAGATAGATAGATAGATAGATAGATAGATATAGATAGATAGATAGATATAGATAGATAGATAGATAGATAGATAGATAGATAGATAGATAGATAGATAGATAGATAGATAGAAAGAAAGAAAGAATTTGTTGTCATTGAACAGGATTCAACAAAATTTCCATTGCAACTCCCGTGCAAAAAGTCACATTTATACAATAAATAAAATAAACACACAATAATAAGAATATATAGGACTAAAATTAACTAAAAGGCACTCCAACCACACTAAAGAAGAAGCAGCAGGTCCAATTATGGCAAGGTGCAGAGGAGCCATGTTGTGATGTCCTGAAGGCAAAGTTTCAGAAAGAACGGATTTTTAAGGGACAGAAACTCAATTTCAAGGGAATAAATTGGGGAGCAAATTTTCTTTTAAGTCATATTTGATCTATTTACAGCATTTTTATAACCACATAAGGTAACAGTTAACCAATTGTGCTATAAAATGGCAGTATAAACACCTAGTACTAACACAGCTCCTTCTGAAAGGAGCTCAACATTGTCAGAGCTGACCAGACGAAAATTTTTACGATCTAAGAATGATTTTGGGCACAAACTTTAATGAACATTTTCCCATCCTAACCTGTTCAATGAAGAGTAATGGGTCACCTTTAACTGAACCCTATAAAACTTGGCTCCATAAAGACTTACTTGTTTACAACCTTGGTTTAAAAGCTTGTAAAAATGAAGGAAACAAAATGCTTAACTTTATTGATTGAAATAAAAATAATTATAGGAATCGGTTTTCACCTCTCCTTCTTACCTTCAGGGTTTTGACTAACTGCTGCCTCAGAAAAATCAAATTGGTACCCGTTTACAATCCTCGAAGCTAAATGTGAAACGTGACCTCTGCACTTTATGCTGACCTTTAACCTCTTGATGAGAAAGCAGAAATTTGCACTTTGGATTTTTATGCTCAGTATACTTCAAGCACTAAAAGGATTTTTGGAGGATCTGTCAGACATGTTTCCTCTGAGGGTTTTTTGTTTTGTTGGTGTCCAGAATAGATGCTCAGGTTTCTGCTGTGCATGAAACATTTCGGAATAGACCCGCAGTTAACATCAAAAACTAAAATAGTTTTCTAAAACTTTATTCATAAATTAACTGATTACAAATACTTTTGTCTTGTTTTGTGTTGACCTCTAAATGCTTTCTTACCCTGCCTTTTAACAAGCCTGTTTTGTAAAACTGATTTTTCTTCCTGAACTTTGCTTCAAGCCAGACTTCTAATTATTCATGCGGTTTTAATGCGCAGAAGTTTTTAATTATTTCTTAATCATCAATTCTTCAGGCTTTCTGAGAATTTTCTTTGCACTTTGACTTATTTTTTGCTCCTTTTTCAAAGCATTACTGACCATGATGAGTTTGAGCTTAATAAATGGTTTTAGTGGAAGAGAAATAAAATAATTAGATATAAAATATATGAACAATAACACCCTTTTAGAAAAATATTCAGAAAAGTATTTTTTGTGATGTCAGAGGCTCTGACAAACTTTATAAAAATAAAGTTTATGCAACTTAAGGTTGCATAAAAATAATGTAATAAATTGATTTTTTGATCATAATCTTTATTATTATCATACAAGCACCACAAAATAATATGACCCCAATCTATGATATCTGCTGCAATCTTGTAGTTAATTGTTGGATTTAAAGTTTAAGTTTACATCAGTGTCTGGTGGATGAATGAAGTGGTTTTTAGTTTTCATATTCTCATTTTTTGTTTGTAGGATCCAGTTCTTGCTTTTAGCTCGGCTGTGTAAGCTGACTTAAACCCAAACACATAGTTCACCCTCGCTTCCTCACAACCATATGTGATTCCCATCAAGGAAAAACACTCGTTCCCCTGCTGATTTACAGGAAGCTGTTCTCCTTGTAGGGTAAAGAAAACATTTATAGACCTAAAGCTCCCTCTTGTTCCCTCCACACACACCAACACACTCCTGTTTTGTGAGATAAGGGTTGGAGTGATTTTTAGTCTTTATCTGAAATCGGATGATGTCGGTGTCGTCGTTTTTATCTGCCTGCCTTTTTGGCGCCTGATGTACCTCATTAGATTCTCCTTTTTAAAGGGATCTGTTATGCAAATTTTGGTTTTGCATAACAGATTTTATGTTTCTATGCTTCCATTAAAAAAAAACCTTGATAAGCTGTTTTCTGGCAAAAAGTGAATGCTTTCTTTGGTGATTGAAAAGTGAGCCCTGTCGTTGCTTAGCAACCCCAGCCAAGCCCAACTTGTCACCTAGCAACCCAGTCAGAGTTTCAGCAGTAAAACGTTGCTTGTTTTAACACTGTATGCTATGTACAATGGCTGCTGTAAAAGACAAGTGTTTTGTTGTTGATTTACCATCCAGAAACTACTTGCTGCATTCTCGTCGGTTGTGCGGGAGGCTTCACTTCTGCTTCTCAAAGATGTCCAGTTGTATAATTGCGCTTCTTTCTGCAGCCATTTTCACATACGAGTGTAAGCGTTGCCTTAGCTTATTTGGTTTTAAGTGACAGGAGGCTTCTGAAATTAGCTCCAAATGACTTAGAAGGAATGATTTTGTGCAAAATGGATATATTTTGTATAGGCCATCGACCGATTGAACCTGGTCAAGGAATCCTAATAGGTCACTTTTAACACACCTGGCTCTGCAATTTGATCAAATCTTTGTGTGTAATAAGCTTCATGATGACATTTAGATCTCCTTGTAGTTGTAGTAGAAATGTGCATATTGGCTGTAATCAGTGGTGACTGAGGAAGGACTATCAATTACTGTTGGCAGCGAGGAGGAGGAAGGCTGAAGGAAAAGAAAGGAGAGGAAGCAAGTAGTTGATGAAAGAGTTTGTACAACTGAATTGAGGATTTCAACAACCTCACCCGCTGCGCCCCAC